TGAACAAAAACAATGAAAGACAGGCCTGAGGGCAGCGGATTAAAAGTCACCCACCTTTGGCTTGGTAGCATTGCTTTCTGTCCACTGGGCCAGCTGATTTCTCTCTCTCTCTGTTGATATTATTGTTGTTAAGTGCCTTTGAGCAACAATCTATCTATCTAGTCTGTCTATCTGGTGGGAGATCTGGTGGCCTAGCAGTAAGAAACTGCACTGCAATCCCAAAGGCAAGTGGTTTGAATTGATCAGCTGCTGCATGGGAGAAAGACGAGAAATCTCATCCTGGTGATTTACTGCCTCAGAAAACCTGCTGGAGGGTCAGCTATGAGTTAGTTCTGACTTGAAGGCACACAACAAATATTTATATATATCTATATATATATCTGTATTTTTCCAAGACTTATTTGTTTGTTCATATATATCTTTGCAATATTATATATATATATATATCCACAATCATAAATATATATCCACAACCTTAAAATATTAATATATAAAATATATACGCGTGTATGTGGTGGCTTAGAGTTAAGGAATTGCGCTGCCAGCTCAGTAGGGTCCGTTATGAGTTAGTTCCGACTCAAGGGCACTTAACAACAATATATATACAAGAAAGGGTTGGAAGAATCAGAGCCAGAAACTAAGATGAATCAATGAAAGAAAAGTCGAGATGGTGTGGTGATATTAAAGCCAGAGTGTGAGAAAGAGCAAAGCAAAACAGGAGAATAGGACACACCTGGTCCTGAACACTACTGACCTCTGAACTGGCTTTGGAATTGCCCTGGAATTCGCCCTCTGGCCCTGTGTTTTTGTTGTTGTTTTGTGAGGTCGAGTGAGTACGACTCATTGTGATCCTGGCGGAAGTGGGGCTGGTTGTCTACACAACTGACACAACATGCCTGTTGAAAAGGCAACTTGTTTAGGGGGCTGGAGTCCTGGAGGTGAGACCTCAGATACTATGAAATCCAATCCCTTCCATTTTCCACTGAGGAACAGAAGATTTACTTTCTTACTGCCAAAAGAACAAACAGATAAGTCTTGGAAAAAGTGCAGCCAGAGTGCTTCTTGGAGGCAAAGGTGGCAACGCTTGTCTTTCATACTTCGGACTTGTAGCTAAGTGGGGCTATTTGTTGGAAAGAGACAGCGTGCTTGGGATGGAGGGTTAGCAAAAGAGAGGAAAGCTCCTAACGAGATGGATCTCTGACATACTTACCCCCATTACCCCAGTCACTGAACTAATCCATTTCTCCGAGGGTCTTCCTCTCTTGTGCTGTCCCTCCACCCTTCCAAACTTGATGTTCTTCTCCAAGGACTGGTCCCTCCTTGCAACATGCACAAAGTATGCCAAACAAAGCTTCAGAATCCTTGCCTCCAAGGAGCAGCCTGATTTCACCCTCTCTAGGGTGAACCTGTTTGCTCTCCTAGCAGTCCATGGTATGTTCAATACCCTTCTCCAGCACCACAGCTCAAAGGCATCAATTCTCCTTCTATCAACTCTAGTCATTGTTTAGCTCACTAGTGTATAGCAAGTAATCACAAAGACTATGGCCTGAATCACGCTCACCCTAGTCTCCAGACTAATATCGTTGCTCGCCAGTACTTTGGAGAGGTCTCTGACAACAGACTTTCCCAATGCAATCTGTCTTTTCATTTCCTGGCTGCTGGTACCAAGAGTGTTGACTGTAGGGCCAAGCGAACTAAGGCTGTTAACAACCTCAATTTCTGTACCATATATCATGATGCTGCCAATTGGCCCAGTGGTAAGAATCTTTGTTTTCTTGATATTGAGCTTCAATTCATATTGAAGGCTTCAGTCCTTGACCTTCTGCAGCAAGTGCTTCAGGGCCTCCTCATTTTCAGCAAGCAGGGTTGTGTCATCTGCATAACCCAGATTGTTGATGAATATTCCTCCAGTTCTGATGCCACATTTCTCCTCATAGAGCCCAGCCTCCCAGATAATCTGTTCTGTATATAGACTGAAAAGGTATGGAGATAGGACACATCTCTGGCATACACCATTTGCAATTTTGAACCATGCAGTGCTTCCTTGCTCTGTTCTGATGACTACCTCCTAGTCCAAGTATAGATTTCACACAAGAATTGGTAGACACAGAAGAATTTAAGGAAAAAATATATGAGCAAGAGCCTGTGGTGATGAAGGAAGAAGTTAAAACTGCTCTAAAAGAACTGGCAAAAAACAAGGCCCCAGGAATTGATGACATGCCAATTGACATATTTCAACAAACAGATGCTGCCCTGGATTTGCTCACCATGTTGTGTCAAGAAATTTGGAGGACAACCACCTGGCCAACTGACTGGAAGCGAACTATATTTGTTCCCATTCTAAAAAAAGGTGAGCCGACAGTGTGGAAATTTTAAAACAATATCATTGATATCACATGCAAGTGAGATTCTGCTGAAGATTATTCAAAAACGACTGGAACAACACATCAGCAGAGAACTGCCAAAAGTTTAGGCTGGGTTTAGAAGAGGTCATGGTACTAGGGATATTATAGCTAATGTCAGATGGATCTTGGCTGAAAGCAGGGAGTACAGAGAAATGTCTATCTGTGTTTCATTGACTATGCAAAGGCATTTGACGGTGTAGATCACAACAAACTATGGCTAATTCTGAGAAGAATGGGAATCCCAGAACACTTGATTGTGCTTATGCAAAGCCTATACCTGGACCAGGAGGCAGTGGTCAGAACAGTGCAAGGAAACACTGCATGGTTCAAAAAAACAAACAATTTCATAGTAGCAAATGATAAAGAGCCAGTAGTGATGAGGGAAGAAGTACAAGCTGCACTGAAGATACTGGGGGAAAAATAAGGCCCCAAGAATTGATGGAATACAAATTGTTATATTTCAAGTAACAGATGCAGCCCAGTTTGTGCCAGGAAATTTGGAAGAACTGAACAATATAATTAATATCACATGAAAGCAAATATTGCTCAAGATCATCCAGAAACAACTAGAACAGTACATTGAAAGAGAACTGCAAGAAATTCAAGCTGGGTGAGCAAGAAATCCTAGGAACAATACATCTGAACCCTGCCCTATCCCCTGCCATCTTCACATTCTCTGATATGCTCCTCCATTGTTACAGTCACTCAATCAGTCTACTTTGTTGGGAATCTTCTTTTCTTTCTCTGCTTCTCCACCTTTCCCAGCATGAGATCCTTTTCCAATGACTGGCCCTCCTGTAAACATGCCCAAAATACCACCAATGGCAGTTTTACCATCCTATGGAGCACCCTGGTTGCACTGAAAATTCAATCAGTGAGATTAAAGGGGGGGAAAAGAAACCAAACTCTTTTATTGAGTGACACTGGAGGTATTAAATGGAGTACAAAAAATTTTCTATCTTTTTAATACGTAAGTAAAAAAAGTTGCCATCTCAACAATCTTTGCATTCATATAACCTTTCCCATGGTAACGGGATAGGAGAGAGTAGAATTGCCCCATAGGATTTCTGAGGTTGTAATTTATAACTAGCCTAAGACATGAGTTGTGGCACATGCAAATAAATGCACCCTCGTGTTCATTGCAAGGATTCCTAGTAGTGTAAGCTGGTTATGCATTGGGTTGTTTACTGAAAGGTCAGTGGCTCAACTTCATCAGACAGACTATGAGAGAAACAAAATCTACTTCTATTAGGATAAACCACCTTGGAAACATAATGGAGGTTCAACATGAGTCAGAATCAACTCAATGGTAGGAGGTTTCATTTTTATGGAAGCTGAAGGCCATATCTTCCTCCTACAAAGTTGTTAGTGGGTTCAAAACTCTGATATTTTGGTTAGCCAATGCAGGACCTTAACCAGTGCATCACCAATACTCTTTATGATGAGATTACAACCTTTAAAATGAAAAAGATTGAAAAAACCCGAAAAGTCCTGTTGTTGTATACTGTTGTTGTTGTTATTGTTATTATGGACCATCAAGTCACCCGTAATTCATAGCAACCCTATATACAACAGCTCTGAACTCTGCCCTATCCTGAGCGAATTTCACTAACTCCAACACACCTTAACCCATTGCCACAGTTACTGTGCCAATCCATCTTATCTGCAGCCTTCCTCTCCTGTGCTGTCCCTCCATCTTTCCAAGCATGATGTCCTTCTCCAGGGGTTGGTCCATCCTGGCCACATAGCCAAAGTATGTGAGATGGAGTTTCAAAATCCTTGTACTGAGGAGTTGGCATCATCATATAGCTGACCTTTCAGCAGGTTTTTGAGGGTAGTAACTGCACAGGAAGAGACTATGCATCTTTCTCCCAAAGAGAGATGGTGGATTTGAATCTTGTGTCATTGTATTGGTAGAACAACTCTTGACCACTAACTCTCTAAAGTCCTACAAAGGCTTTTTACTCATCTCATGCAGAAGAAAGTTCAAGATTCTTAAATGACATACAAAGTCCTCCATGATCCTATTCAATCCTTCTTCTCTCTTACTGCTTCTCTTCTTGTTCTAGCTATGATAATCTCTTTGCTATCTTTTTAAGATCCTATCTTAGTTCTGATCACAAGGCCTTTATATTTATTCTTTGTTATGCCTAAAATACAATTCTCCCAGATATCCATGCAGCTTGATTACTTCCCTCCTCTAGGTGTTACTCCAGTGTCACTGTTTTTATAAGGCCTCTCCTGGACACCATAAAATTGCAAAACCCCTGCTCCACCCACCCACCCACATGCATATTTCTTCTCTTATGTTTATTCCCCTACAGTATTTGGCCAGAGCATATATTTTATTTCTTTATTTTAGTGTCTTTCTCTTGCACAGAGTTCAAGAAAAGATAAGGATTTTTCTTTTATTTCTTTTGTTTATTTTTCTATTTCCAATGCCTTGAAGCGAATCATGACATTTTATCTTCATTGAGAAGCTAGTAGCAATGACCCAGCTGAACATTATATATAGGACCTAGACTCAGAGTTATGTCAACTGTGAAGAGTTCTAAACCATAATAACCCTGGCAAGGCCAGAGTCTCAGTACTCACCTGAAGGGCTGAACCTAAAGTCATTCAGCAGAGAGGAGTATGGTGCCTCAGTAGTGGAAGAAGCAGCTTCACATACATTGAGGTGTTCATCTTTCATATTATCCATCTTGGTTCTATTTGTATCTAGACTATTTAAAAAAAAAATAATAACACTCAGGTGAACTTGTTCTTTGTCGCTGATACTATTCACAGATTTTGCCACTCATCAATGGTGAGGGTTGGATTCCCATTAAATAAAGGACCCAATCATCCACTGCTTAATTTAACTTGAGGATACTATTGAAATACAGAAGAAAATATCTTTTTCTTCTCATTTCTATTTCCTTAGGCTACATTAGGAATTAAACTGCTAGTAATGTTTTCTATACTATTGTGCACACTTTAAGAAATGTCATAATTAAGAAAATTATTCCATCATACCTGACAGAAGATGCCTTTTCTCTTGCTGTAGCTTGTTCGTCTTCATCCAGCAATTCAACTGTAAAATAACCAGTTTCCAGCAGAAATCCCAATCTGAAAGGTATTAGCCACTCCCTTGCTCCACTTACCCAGTTTGATCAGGTACCATAAACAGTGATTGGAAAGAAAATGTCTGTAGGAAATGAACACCCATAGAGGTCTTCAATGGGCAGCAATAAATAATCAGAGCAGAAAAGTATTATCCAAAGTACTAACTCAAAACTCATTGCCACCATGTCCATATACAAACAAGTGGTGTTTTGTCTTTTTATGTTGCTTATAAAGTTTATATACATAATGTTTCACACTTTTCTTCATTCACTTTGTGTTTCATACAATCATTCCCATGCATTATGATTTATAAAATTAATCACCATTGGACCTTGCCTGTCTCTTCAGGTCCCTGCTGGATCCTTCCCATGTCCTTCACCCCCTCCCTCCACCCACCAAATTGTGCAACCCTCTAGTTTTGCCCCTACCCATCCTCACCCCTCTGCTCCAACCCTTTCCTCCCCTTGGGTCCCCATACATATTTTACTAGTTATCCTATTTTTACAACAATGGTCTTACGAAGTTTTTGTTCTTATGAAACTTAGTTCACCCGATTTAATGCTCTCCAGGCTCTCCTAAGTTATGTAGTATTTTTCAAGATCACTGCTCCTACAAATGTGTTTTATCACAGTGTTGGTCAGACTCTCTTGATATGTTATAAGCAGTATATATGCTGTGTGTTAAATTTTGCCCCAATATTTCAAATAAGAGATTGTGAGTGGATCATTAACTTGGAGTATTAAACTCACTTGCTGAATATAGATAATCCCTTCCTACTGAGATTTCTAAATCTGCCCACTAGTCAAATCTCTAGTAACTAGTTGTAGTATTCCTTACACTGTAAAGCCAAATGATAATATTTTTTCAAGGATATTCTGTTCGTAGAGTCTCCACCAAAACAGAAAGAGGAGGGTCAACTCTCAAATATCAACTGTAAACATTTGCAAATGGAATGTTAAAGGCAAGCCAATACTATGTTTTATTTCAATTACTGACATGAGTAAGAGTAGCAAGTAATACTACTGCAAATGCCAATATCAGCATCCAGGGAACATGAAGCTCTTACCATTCACAATCTCATGTCCAAAAAACATTTTCACTCCTGGGACACTTTGACCAGTCTCCACATTCTTCACTGTTTTAGGAAACAATTTATTTGGTTAATAAAAAGTAACATTTTTTTAAAACTATAATAAAATAGAGTACCTTTCAAAAGTCTCCAAGTTGGGAATTTTCAAAAGGCATTATTTCCCCCAAGAAATAAATAATAAGTAATACGTTATAAAGGGAACCTGATGGCCCAGGAGTAAGGAGTTGACAACTTGAAGGTACACAGTTCAAATCCACCAGCTGCCCAGAGGTGTGAGGGTGACATGTGATTAACTGACTCTGTAAATCCGCTGGAGGGTCAACTCTAGGTTGGTTCTGACAGGAAGCTACACAATATTCTGAAGGTACAATCTTGAAACATAGTATAAAGAGCAGTAATTGTACACTGAATTTATACTTCTCCTTAAGAGTATTCTAAAGCTTTGGGGGCTAAGGAACACCTATTGATTGATACATCAATTTTCTTAATTTCTGTTTCTTTTTCTATCTAATTCCAGAAACCCATTGCTATTGGATCAAATCTGCCTTAGGGTGACCTTCCATTGAGTTTCTGATGCTTTACATTTTTACCAATCTTTATCTGAGGAGGAGCTGGTGGATTCAAACTCCTAAACTTTAGGTCATCAGTATGGTATGTAATGCACTGCTCTATTGGAATACACAGGATCAAACTAACTACATTTGTGGAAAAAGACCGTAGAAAAGTTAACCACTTGAAAACCCATCCCATTTTAAAAATCTTTCCGATTCTTCCTCATTACTTTCAGAGTAACCAAAATACTCTAAGATTCTTAAAACGTGTCCTGCTTCTTAGTTTGAACCTACCTAGAAGTACCTAAAAAAATAGACCTGGAGATTTGCTTCCAAAAGGTCATATATGGAACAACTCTCTGTACACATGGAGTCACAACAAATCCAAATCAACTCAACAGGAACTTACAAGTACCATCTTTAACAAAACAGGTCTTTCTTCGCAAATGCTGTTCCTTCTGCTTAGAACAATGGTTCTCAAAGTGTGGACAAAGCACATCATCAACTGCTAAGGTTAGAAATGCAAATTCTTGGGTCCTACTTTAGATCTGCAGAAAGATGTGTAATCTCTTCCAGTGGAATTTACTGCCTTTGAAAGCCTACTGGAGGGTCAGCTATCAGTGGGTACACATAAGAACAAAAACAGTAACTTTAGATCTATCTAATCAGAAACTGGGAATGGGGCTTAGCAACCCATGTGTTTCTATGCACTTCAGGTGATTGTGGATGAACAAAGTTCGAGAACCTGTAGCTTAAAACAATCTTCTTAAATTTCCCCTCTTTTTCCATGAAGATAATGTCTACTCACTCCAAATATTGTTCTATTGTAAATTTCTCCCTTATGAAGCATTACCCATTGTCCTACCCCAAACACTCTCAAATTTAGATTAGCTGAAAACTTGTATTTTCCACAGCATCTTGTGCTCCCTTTCCCAGAAAGCATATCACACAGCACTATACAAATCTACTTGCTTATTAGACTAAGCCATTACTAAAATTCAGTTAATATTTTAAAAGAAAGCTGGGTAGAAAATTATGACTAATAGAATGAGACCTTTCTTTAGAACAATAATTCTGTTAGGGTCCACGTGCTGGAGCACTCCCTCGAAGATGCCACAAACCAATGTGAGTTTCACCCTTCTCCACAAAATATGGTTGAGGAAATGGTAGTCACTGCTGGGATCCATGCTATTTGATTCCAAAAGCAGTCTTCAAATAATCTTCTTTAAATACCCAAACAAAACAAAAAAAATTAAAGAGATCTATGATTTTGTGAAAGGTTGGTGTTTTTTTTTGTGTGTGGTTTTTTTTTCAAGTTCATATTCTGTGTATTGTGCATTTTCAGTTATATTTGATGGTCTTTTTAAAATATTTTAATTTATTTATTTTTCATTTCAATGAACATCTACAGAGATTTTGGAATTCCATTCATTCATTGTTGCACCCTTCTCCCCGTCCACCCCACCTCACCCCCCCCTTTGCTCCTCTCCCTGAAAAGCAAATGAAAAACTCCCTCAGGTTTATTTTATTTTTTTAATTTAATTTTTTTTTGGAAGGAGACTGAGCTTATTTTCCCTTTCCTCATACCTGTGAGGGATTAAAAAAACAAAAGGAAATTAGGTTAATGTGATTCTAAGAATAATTTAATAATCTTTTTAGAATGATAATGAGAAAATGATCATTGCAAGTACCAATTAACACATGGAAAATGAGAAGGCTTTGAGCAGGGCAGCCTTGACTTCTTTGTGTGTAAAACAGGAAGACATATATCCTATTGAGAATCAATCTGAACACTGTCTTATCCCATGCCATCCTCACAATCTCTGACACACTCAAGTTCGTTGCCATAGTCACTGGTTGAGGGTCTTCCTCTCCTTTTGTCCACCTTAAAAGAAGATGGAAAGAGTATACAGAGTCATTGTATAAAAGGAATTGGTGGACAGAGAAGAATTTAATGAAACAACATATGAGCAAGAGCCTATGGTAATGAAGGAAGAAGTTAAAGCTGCTCTAAAAAAACTGGCAAAAACAAGGCTCTGGGAATTGACAGCATACCAATTGACAGATTTCAACAAACAGATGCTACCCTGGATGTGCTCACCAAGTTGTGCCAAGGAATTTGGAAGACAACCATCTGGCCAACAGAGTGGAAGAGAACGATATTGCTCCCATTCTAAAGAAAGGTGATAGAGTGAGGAAATTTTCAAACAATATCATATGCAAGCAAGATTCTGCTGAAGATTATCCAAAAACTACTGGAACAGCACATTAAGAGAGAACTACCAGAAGAACAGGCTGGATTTAGAAGAGACCATGGCACTACGGGTATTATAGCTAATGTCTGATGGATCTTGGTTGAAAGCAGAGTACCACAGAAATGTCTATCTGTGTTTTATTGACTATACAAAGGCATTTGACTGTGTAGATTACAACAAACTGTGGCTGACTCTGAAAAGAATGGGAATCCCAGAACACTTGATTGTGCTTATGGGAAACCTATACTTGGACCAGGAGGCAGATGTCAGAACAGAGCAAGGAAACACTGCATGGTTGAAAATTGGGAAGGGTGTGTGCCAAGGATGTGTCCTATCTTCATTAACTTTTCAATCTATATACAGAATAGATTATCTGGAAGGCTTGGCTCTATAAGGAGAAATGGGCATCAGGATTGGAGGTAGACTCATCAACAATCAGCATTATGCAGATGACACAACTCTGCTTGCTGAAACTGAGGAGGATCTGAAGCGCTTGCTGCAGAAGGTCAAGGACTGCAGCCTTCAATATGGACTGAAGCTCAACATCAAGAAAACAGATTTTTACCACTAGGCCCATCGGCGGCATCATGATAGATGGTGAAGAGATTGAGATTGTTGACAGCTTCAGTTTGCTACAATCAACACTCTTGGTACCAGCAGCCAGGAAATTAAAAGATGAATTGCACTGGGAAAATCTGTGGTCACAGACCTCTCCAAAGTACTAGAGAACAATGATGTTAGTCTGGAGACTGAAGTGCGCCTGACAGGACATGGTCTTTGCAATTACTTGCTATGCATTGGATAGCTGGACAATGATTAGGTATGCTAGAAGGAGAATTGATGCCTTTGAGCTGTGGTGCTGGAGAAGAGTATTGAATATATTGCTAGGAGAACAAACAAGTTCATCCTGGAGGGTGAAGCCAGTCTGCTCTTTGGAGGGATGAAACTTTAGAGAGGGACATCATACAAGGATTATAAAGCTTCATCTGACATACTTCGGACATGCTGCAAGGCAGGATCAGTCCTTGGAGAGGGACATCATGCTTGGGAGGATGGAGGGACAGACAGAACAAGAGAGGAAGACCTTCGATGAGATGGATTGATTCAGTAACTGGGGTAATGGGGATAGGTGTTTCAGAGACAATAAGATTGGCACAGGATAGAGTAGGGTTTAGGGCTGTTGTACATAGGGTCACTGTGAGTCACAGGCGACTCGATGGCACATAACAACAACTTTAAGACCTACGAAGTACTTTCACAAATATTATTTCACTTATCCTTATAATAAATATTACCTGGAGGTTCAGCTATGGGGTTGGTTCTGACTCAACAGTACACAAAGGCAACTTACAGATATGGAAGGAAATTGAGGCTGAGAGAGTTAGAACACCTGCTTAGTGTCACACAGCTAGAAGATAAGGGATCTGAACCAACATAGAGCCCTAGTAGGGGGAATGTGTAGATCTACTACAAGACTATGCACACAGTTAGAACATAAAACAAGTCACTAGAGTATGTGAGAAAACTATGTTCAGGCTCATTTTAATTCAAAGAGCAAAAAGGAAATTTTGTACAGAAACCGAAAAGGAGAAAGAACTAGAAAAACTAACCCTTAGTAGGAGAAAAGGTTAATTCACATTTTAAAAAGATAACTAAGAAGGGGGGGGAAGGTTTGTGAAATACTTCAAAAATAAGAAACTAAAGGTTAAATCAGAAATAAGGACAAACGAAAACAAAAACTACAAGATCTTCACCTTGTCTAAGACAAATGCGAACAGTAAGATTCACCACTATGAAGAGGAAAGCAAACTCATGATCAAGAGGGGTGTTGAGGAAAATTCAGAGAAGATATATTCTTGTCATTGACAAGGTTTTTCTAACACTCAAATCAATTCACTGCATTTGAGTTGGCAGGGGGGTTACAGAGGCTGTAAATCGCACAGGAGATTGCCATTCTCCCACGCTGCAGCTAGCTGGTGGATTCAAATTGACCGCCTTTCCTATTACAACATATTCGAAAAATAATAAGCAGCTCCTTTGGCTTTTATACAGGCATACTCAAAGCGTTATTCTGCATATGAAGGCAGACAACACTAGGTGAGCCATGAACAAACCACTATGAAGACAATTGGTTCAGACTACAACTCCGGTCCTCAAGAATAGTGTGGGAGTTTAGGCTAAGTAGTCAAACCTGTATGAGAAGCTTAAAAAGTACTAACTCAAGCGGACTTTGGGCAATCTGCTAAAATATTAAGTTTCTCAGTAGTTAGGAACTAAGTGACAATGGTAAAAAAATGGGTTGTTTCTTATCGCAAACAGATTTTATAAAAAAATTAACGAAGGGTTGAGGAGAAAGTGACAGGCAGTTGAAACTAAGGCAGCTGAAGCTACAGGGAAAGCAGTGATTTACTTTTGGTGGCTTTAAAATTTCTCAATTAAAACAAACAATATGATATAGAACAAATGCAAAAGTCCTCATTTTAAAGAGAAACAAGAAACTTCAAATTAATGACAAACAGTACGTTAGGAATTCACTCTTCACCGTTAGTTTCTCTTCAAAATAAATGTGAGAAATCTAATCCTAATCTCAGCCAAATGATAAATTCCTCCAATTTAGTCTAGAAATTTAAAGAAGGTCGGCTGTTTAGGAAGAAATCTCGGGGACCTCCAAGGCACCGGGCGCCGGTTACCAAATTACAAGTCCGAAAAGTAAACGAAGCAGCTCCCTGCTCCCCAAGCGCGAGACGTACGGCTCCTCTTAAAGCTCCTCTACCCACCTCGGCTCCCGTCGCGCGGCTGTTTCTCGAAGAAACGAAAGGCAAACTGTCACAAACCCTGTTCTCGAGCGCCCCCTGTGATCTGGAGACCAGAGGTCCTCTCAGAAAAAAAAAAAAAAATGCTCTCCAAGTCCCAGCATGCAGTTAGAGACACACCCTAGGATTCCTTTCCCCTCAACTTTACAACATTTTATCTCACTATATACTTTTACTTTTCCTACAATCCATACCACCTTTATAGTGGGAGTCCTATGAGAAACGTACTAGGCTATGCTGTCTACAGTAGGCAAGGGATTAAAGCACCGAGTCGATGGCATTGCCCTTTTAATTGCAGTCGCCAGCGCCAGCATGGCATTACTCCTTTAAGGCCGGTGAGTTGCAATTCGAGGGGCGGAGTCAGTTCTCAGGCAGACCCCGGCAGGCGTAAGGTTGATTTCTTCGGAGGCTGAGGCTGGAAGCACTGACGTAGGCACCTGCGCTGGGCGTAGTCTCATTACGGATTGGTTAGTCTCGAGGTCCGCCTTCTCTAGCACACTACCCCTAGGTTTTCTCCCTGGTCCGCAGTAGAAATACTACCCTCTCCCTTCTTGACCCCTAGCCTTTCCTCCCCTCCCTTCTTCCCTCTTCCGCCGTCGGATTAGGCGCCGCTGCTCCTATAGGAGCTCTCGACTCGGGCATGGGGTCTCGGGCCTCCACGTTATTGCGGGACGAAGAGCTGGAGGAGATCAAGAAGGAGACTGGCTGTGAGTTAGGGCCGGGGGTGGAAATGCGACCGGTTTCCTCTGACTGGCCCTGATACTGAAGCTGGTGGTCACTTGAAACTTCAGTTTTGGTGCTTGAAAGGTTGCAGAGTTCTTTACAGGCCTCCTTGGGCCCAAGGACCTGTTTTTCCTTCCACCTGCTGCTTTTCTGGTTCTTTTGGGGCTGTCATTCCACTCAGAGGTGATAGCGTCTGTCACCGGTATAGCACCTCTTTACCCCTTTCTCTCACTTTTTTTGTGAACGCCCTACAGCTCTTTCATTTCTCTTTTCTCTCACCATCCTTCTTATGAAGAGGCATCCTAAACAGCAGATAAAGCCGGAGGAGCAAAATCAGGAACTAGACAGATACTGTAAAGAATGCAGTCTCGTTCTGTAACTCTGTAACGTTTGTGTGAAACCACAGACAGTTGTGAGAAATTTTAAGTAAGTTCTTGTTACAAAGTAGGGAAATAAACTCAGAAATCAAGGCCGGATGGGTAGGTTTTGGAAACTTTGACTCGATGACGTGAGACCTTTAAAATCTCAAGGTCTCAGAGTAAGAAACTTCATTTATGTTGAACCTCTGGAGAGGAAGGAAGTACAGATATTGTGACCACTAGTATTTCACTTAAACTGAGTATGCTTGCTGCCTTTATTTCAGATACATTGATTTCTGCTCTGCTGCTGTACTTTATGCAGTTGCTGTTGAAATTGGATGTACTCCAAAACTCTCAGCGCAAATTTGTTCCAGGATCTGATTTCCCCCCTAGTAGTCCAGTCTTTTCCTTGTTAGCCTGAACAAAAGAGCAACAGGGCTTTGCTCCAAGATTTCCTTGAACTTCAATCTAGAACTGAAAAGAAAAGAGACTGCTCTATTAAGATAGAAGTCTTGGAGAAAATGCCACCCTGAGGTGGTTGTTAAATGCTATTCTTGAAAGGAAATTGGAAAAAAGTACTCAACACACCACATCCAAAGTATAAAGTGAATGCTTCCTCTCATCCCTTCTTTCTGTAAAGTACTATTGTACAAAGACCGTGATAATGTATATAACATTTTATCTCAGTACTATTTTATGAGCCCTTATATTGCTGATGAGTTGGGTAGTTCTGTAGCTCACTTCATGACTTCTGTCTTTATTAATGTAATTTATTAGTCATATGCATTGAGGGGTGCAGGAGCAACAAGCAGGCCTGCTTGGAATATATTAAATGCTTTCCTTTTCTTTCTGATATGTTCAGCTCTCTAGATTCTTGTAAGGGACATCATCCAGCCCTCTTCTTGTCATATCGGTTTACTTCTTTGAGCATCCTTCTAATCTGCCATTTAATTTTTTCATAAAGACATTTCTACAACAATATTTGATCTCTCATGCATTCTACGGGTTGACTAAGTCAGTGAAGCAGTCGTATGGGTACCCCTTGTGGAATCATCTCACTCATTCTTTTACCTGTCACTTGGTCCCTGAAAATATTCAAATACCTGGATTAGGGCAAGTAAGATTTCTTGAGTATATTAAGAATCTTATATAGTAATTCTACTGCTTTTATTCTCTTATCACTCTTCTCCTAGATTGAAGAAACTGTCACTACACTCATATTCTAGATGCAAAGAGTATACTTAGGTTTGTGGTTCTGAGAGAGAATACAGAGGAATAATATTGAAATTAGTACTAGAATCTAAGCTTTCTACTATTCAACCTAATTTGCTTTCTATTTGTTTACAGGCTGTTTTAATTTAACAAGAAGTACTGCAACAAAGACCATCTAATTAAAGATTTAATCAAACTTAAGGCAAAAAAAGATATTTCTGATGTGTGCTGTCTTCTACTAAAGCAGCATTTTTCTCACTTTTAGGTGAATGACAATGTAATTCAAACAAAAACTCAGATTCACTGCCGCTGAGTCAATTCCAGCTCACCACAGTCCTCTTGTCAGGTTCCCAAGGCTATAAATTGCAACGGGAGAAGTCTGCCCATCTTTCTCCTGTAGAGCTGCTGGTGGATTCGAACCACTGGAAGCATTCTACTCCAAGGAACTCTATGCCACCAGAGCTCCCTGAAAGTAATTCACTGTTTATAATTTGCAGCATTTACCTGGGTACTTGATTTTATAGTCCTTTTTTAATGACTTTTCAGATTCCAGGAGTAGAAATAGAGGAAATCTGGATTTAGCAAGTTACTGCATTTCATGACCATGACCGCTGGCCCACTTAGACATACATCTAGTTGGGGGAGGGATTGTATAACAATGGAATAGTTTTATTTTTCAAAGAGAAGAGAGAACTGGGAGGGGGGAGGAGTGGGTAGGGAGAAAAGTGTAACAATGAATGAATGGAAATCCAAAGTCTCTGTAAATGTTCGTGAAAATGAATTTTAAAAAGTAGGGGAAGAAAGAAATAGATCTGCTTTACACTTGGAGTAGCACTTAAAGAAGTTGTAAAATAGTCACATGTGAGGAAATGTAAACCATGTTAAGGATAAGAGAGAGTTCATCTTGCTTCAGAAAGAAGGGAACAGTAATCCAGTTCTGATTTATTTGTATTTGGTCAAATGAAAAGGCCCTGGATTGTTGTAGAAACCTTGGCTATTGTTTACTTTGTGAATAGACAGAGCTAATTTCTCATGGGAGAGCTGTTCTCCCATTTGCCAAAGAGTAATTTGATGGTTCTTAACTGCTACTTGTATAAATGTCCATATTGAGTCCAAAAGCCTAATGAAACAAATAAAGTTAAATTTTTGCAGGGTCTGTGGAAAATACTATGTGTGGGGGTGGTGATGGTATGTACCACTGAGTCCGAACCGACCTATAACTGACCCTCCAGGGGGTTTTCAGAGGCAAGTAATCACACGGGAGGAGACTGACACAACTCACCCGAGGAAATAAATATGAGATAGTCATGATTAACATCAGTGACAGTCATCTTCAGAACTCAGAAACATGAGAGCTTTGATGAACGGATAAGATTTGGATAACTTCATTCAGGACAGTTTGGGTAGTTCCCAGAAGCAATTTCCCTCACTCTGCTAAAAAGTTATTCCTCTGTATTTGAAAGTTGAGCCTTTTAATCCTTTCAGCAGACTTAAAACAGTGATTTTAACATGATACAAAAGGCTTGAAGATATTTTTATTATTGTTATTATTTTTAATGAAAAGTAAATTAGTATTTCGTTGTGTAAATATACTACAGCTTTTCTATCCATTCATTTGTTGATGGGCACTTTGGTTGTTTCCAAATCTTTGCTATTTTGAACAAAGCGTGATAAACATGGGTGTGCAAAAAGGCTTGAAAATATTAAAACAACAAATATCTGGGTGGTAGGATTAGTGATATGTGCCAGTTAGTCAATTCTGACTCATACTTACTATATAGGACAGAGTAGACCTTCCCCATCGGATTTCTAAGACTAAATGAAATCTTTATGAATGCAGACTCCCTTATTTTTTTCCTGCAGTGCATGGCTGGTGGGTTCAAACTGCCAACTTTTTGGTTAACAGCTGAAATCTTTAACCATAGTGCCACCAGGACTTCTCAGAAAAGTAAGGTAGGGAGGTAGAATTTGTTCCCTTTTTCTCTGCTTCTTGTCCTGTTGAGTTTTGGGAACTAACAATCAGGAATAGTTTTAAGGTAAGAACAGAGACCTAGAATTGGAGACTAAAAAGGGAAGAACTCATTTGGCACTTCTCAAGATGAAAGAACTGCAAAACAAATTCAACCCTTGAGGTGTAATACAGGAGCACCTTTGTCTCTAGACTGACATTGTTGCTTTTCAGCATGCTCGAAGCTGCTGACAGCAGATTTTCCCAGTGTAATTCATCTTTTGATTTCCTGGCTGTTGGTACCAAAAGTGTTGATTATGGAGTCAAACAAACTGAAGCTGTTAACAACCTCTATCTCTTCACCATCTTTTATGATGCTGCCAATTGTCCTAATGGTGAGAATCTTTGTTTTCTTGATGTTGAGCTTCAATCCATTGAAGGCTGCAGTCTTTGACCTTCTGCAGCACATGTGTCAGGTCCTCTTCAGTTTCTTCAAGCAAGGTTATGTCTGGAAGAGATCCATATTTGTTCCCATTCCAAAAAATGTTGACCAGATAGAGTACAGAAATTATCGAACAATATCATTAATGTCACATGCAAGAAAAATGCTGCTGAAAATTATCCAAAAACACCTGGAACAGCAGCACATCAACAGAGAACTCGCAGATGTGCAGACTGGGTTTAGAAGAGGTCATGGCACTAGGGGTGTTATAGCCAATGCTGGTTAGATGGATCTTGGCTGGAAGCAGAATATATCAGAGGAATGTCTTATCTGTGTATATGATTACAGCCTGTAAACCCTGTGGGCAGCTCTCTGGTGTATAGAGTTCTGTGAGTCAGAATTGAATTGACAGCAGTGAGTTTGGTTTTGGTTTCAGTGTGAGCTATTACTATTTTGGGCTATAGATAGGGATTGTTTTAGTGGGAAAATACTTTTTGCTTGAGGTAGTTATAAAGTCTGTTTAAAATTATATAACTGGGGAAGTGACAACATACAGATTTTTTTCTAGTTTCAACAGGGATTGGATTAGGGATCAAGTACAGATCCTGTTTTAATTTTGTGGGAAATAAGACTTCTGAAGTAGAAATTTTCATGTTTCTAACAGTCTAAGAAACACTTTTTGCTGGAATAAACTATTTGTTACAGTTTCTTTGCTGTCTTCTCACATTTCCATAAATTAGAATAAAAGATGGAATTAGAGAAAAAGGTTACAAATGTCTTGGGAGTTTTTGTAATCTCTACTGTTGTTGTTATGTGCCGTCGAGTAGCCTGCGACTCATAGCGACCCTATGTACAGCAACCCTAAACTCCGCTCTGTCCTGTGCCAATCGCACTGTCTCTGACACTCCCATCCCAATTATCCCAGTCACTGAATCAATCCACCTCATAGAGGGCCTTCCTCTCCTGTGCCGTCCCTCCACCCTTCCAAGCATGATGTCCCTCTCTAAGGACCGGTCTCTCCTC